CTTCCTGCAAATCCAGCTCACCATAGCCCCTGTCAGTCACTTAATTTCTGAGTCTTCTCTCTTTGCCTTTCAGGTGAGGGCCGTGTCTTCCATGCTCCTGAGGGTGAGTTCCTGAGCCAGCCACCTGCAAGTCCATTCCTGTGGAAAGTTATCTACTTGCCATCTTACTGTGCAAGCAGTTTGGAGAGTCTGGCCTCCAGGTATTATTTTTCATATTTTCTGTAAAGCCTTGTTTAAATTTTCCTCTAGATGCCACTTAAAAGGAAACATGAAAACAGAGCAAAAAGGCCATGTCCTGGCTGCTAGAATCAGAATAACACCAGAGAGCGCTTCAGCTCAAAATGAATGGAAGAATCTGAGGTTGAACATCGCCCAGTCTTTCGGAGGGTGGGAAAAGCGTGAGCAGAGGCCTGGCGTGCAGGAGAAGGACATTCATCTTCCATGAAACCCAAGTGGAAAAATGTTATTTAACGAAGTCTTCCCTTTCTGGGTGTGTAAGCCTTGGGAAAGGGGTTGTGACACTTTGATTACCCTCAAATGGATGGTGGATCTTGAAGGGTCACAATAATAAAGCAAAACCAAAAATTTCTCTTTTTCTGAGGATTCTTAAGTAATCCAAGGGCGTCCAGGATTCTGGTGGCTGGGGCAGGGGCACTGCCGCTGTGTGCTCGCTAGGGGGCGCTGTGGGCCTTCGCAGTACTTAGAGGCGCTGCCCCCTGGAAATAGACTGGCCTGTGGCAGTGACTTCAGCCCCCAAGCTGGGACTTCAGTCCCCAGGAAAATTTAGTATCAAAGAAATACGCATTAGGACTATAATAAATAGGGGATACGAATGAAGATGGATGTGTCATAACTCAAATATAATTCATAGAAATTATGTTATTCCATCGAACTATTTTAACGCTCACAGAGATGACACTTTTTAAAATTAGAAATACAAACTACTGTATAGAAACAGGGACCGCATGAAGCTTCAGTACTGCACAGGGATTTTAAATGATTTTCCAACATCTGTTGATGGGATAAGGCTTTATAGTGTGTCCTATTAATCTTTTTCCCCAGTTAGTGTAATTTCAAGGGAACAAATAAATATCTTTATGCAAATGCTCTCCATAATACAATAACCTAAGTACAGAAATAATGAAAATCTAGGCCAATGAAGACTCTCATGGAGCAGAGAAGATTTCTACTAGCTGTGCCTCCATGTCTTAATCTCTGCACTGCATGTTTAGAAAGTTGAAAGGCTGGAAGTTCTCATACTTGAATGGCAACTGACATGATCTCAGAGAGGAATGGGCTTTCCAGTCAGACATGAACATTCCAAAATCTGGATGTTCTGGTTGACCAAGACAGTATAGTTAATTAGTTAATTAGCTACTTCCATGAAAGGAGGGACTTAGATGAAATTTTAAAATCTTTGGTGTTCAAGAGCTAGCAAAAGAAACTGGATGCTTTTCATGGGAAGTTATCGCAAACTTTCTTCATGGTTTGTGAATGATGGAGGGACATTTAGCACAACCTGAATGTTAGTGGTTGCCGGTTGCTCTGGGGTTTCAGAGACACTGCTTGTGGGGCAAATGGTACATTCTGGTAGAGGATTCTGCCTGGACCTGGCTAGTCCTCTCTAGGGACCCCTGGGTCATGGGCCAAGCTTCTTGGGGGCTGTGTGCTGCCCCATCTGGAGCACCTATATGGGTAAAAATGATTTTTTTAAATTGTTCACTTCTTGGTACTCCTTCCCAATTCTGAATGTGACTTCACACCTTTCTTTGAAGCTGAAGTATAAGACTCAGGTTCGGGGTGAAGATTGAAGAGGTTTGTCATTCTCTGCATCTCACATGGGGTATGTGGACCTATCAGTTCACTGCTGAGTGACAGGAACGCAAGGAACCCCAGGGTAGCTGGGGAATCCACTTCAGCCGAAACTTTGTATAGGATAAGCTAAACAACCGTGTTTACACTAAGACAAATGCAGTGATATTAGGGAGTAAGATGGAGAAGTGCACATGATTTCTGTCAGTGAAAACAAGGAACTTCAAAGAAATTTCTGTCTTGCAGAGGGCTGCCTCTTGGTCCTTAGAAGTAAAATAGATGCTTGTTCGATTTCTTTCATTAGTGGTACTTTAGAAGAAATGTTTGGAATTTTTGTTGAACATTCTCATTTGACATCCGTGGAAACAGAAGCACCAAGAGGAAACGTCTAACTTGTGAATGCGACTCTAACTTGCCATGTGCGTCCCTTCTTCAACCTAACATTGGCTGTTTCTTCCCGCTCTCAGCCCTAGTCTTGGTTAACCAGAACATCCAGAGCAAACCTGATCTAAGGTCCAAGGAAGAGCAGAAGTCAGCCCCTGCTCGTCGTCCCTGCTCTGCCACTAACCACGGTGTCACCTGAATAAGGGGCTTGATGTCTCCTCCCCTCAGCAATAAAGAAATGCACTTAAAATAATGAAATCCAAATGCACTGTCCTCACCTTGCATGACTGCTGGAGAGACCAGATCAGGTAACAGATGTGAAATGAAGTTTGAAGTGCTGCACAAAGAGCCGGAATCCACTTTTCAACAAATGGTGCTGCTAAAATCGAATATCCACATGCAAACAAGTGAACTTGGATCATCACTTAACACCCTGTACAAAAATTAACTCAAAATGCCTCAAGAGCTAAACATAAGACAAAAAACATAGGACAAAACCTTCATTACTTGGATTTGCAATGGTTTTGGGATATGACACCAAAAGCACAGACAGCCAAAGAAGAAAATCGATCAGACTTCATGAAATTTCAATAACTATGCATGAAAAACATCTGCAAAGTAAAAAGACAACCCAGAGAAAGGGAGAAAAATATTCGCAAATCAAATATTTTCAGCAATTGATCTCCAGAAACACAACTGAACTTCTACGACACAATAACATAAAGAACTCTTAAAACACAAAATGCAAATAACAAAAATGCAAATAACCTGATTAAAAAATGGGCAAAAGACTTCAAGAGACATTTTTTGAATAGACATTTCTTTACAGAAGGTGTACAAATGACCAATAAGTACATGAAAAGGTGTTTAACATCACTAATCATTGAGAGAAATGCAAATCAAAACTCCAATGAGATCCTAACCCACACCAGGTAGGATGGCTACTGTCAAAAGCCCCAGAGAACAAGCGCTGGCGAGGATGTGGAGAAATTGAGGTGAGCTCACAGGGGTGCGAGCTCTCGGCGGGAATGTAAAATAGTCCAGCTGCTGTGGAAAATGATGGAGGTCCCTTAAAGAATTAAAAGTAGAATTAACATGTGATCTAGCAATTCCGCATGTGGGTATCTCCCCCCAAGAACAGAAAGCCGGGTCTCAAAGCGGTATCTTTACACCACGTTGAGGATAGCGTTATTCACAATAGTTAAAACATGAGAGTGACTTGTGTCCATTGACAGATGAGTGAATAAGCAAAATGCAGTAAATGCATACAAAGGAGTATTAGTCAGCCTTAAAAAAGGATGTTTTTCAATAGACTACAAGACGGGTGACTCCTGAAGACATTATGTTGAGTGAAATAAGTTAATTACAAAAAGACAAACACTATGATTCTACACACATGAGGAACTTTAGGTAATCAAAATTATAGAGACAGGGCCCCTGGTGTTGCAAGGGGTTAAGATGCAACCTATGAAGCTATCCACAGCCATTGCAACTACCAAGTTCGATCCCTGGACAGGGAGCTACCCACAGGGCACAGCAGACCTCTCCTGTCTCCCCGCTGCTCCCCACAACAGTGTATTTCAGTCAGTCTGCCTGTTCTGTTCCCCGCTCTGTCTCTGGTGAATCCTCTTACCCTCCTCACCTCTGGCCTCTACCCCAGTTCTTGTATGCATCACTAAATAAATCTTTAAAAAAATTATAGAGACAGAAGTATTAGTGATGGTTTCCAGGAGATGGAGCTGGGGGAGACTAGGAAGTTATTATTTAATAGCTACAAAATTCCAGTTCTACAAGGTAAAGAATTGTGGGGATGAATGGAGGTGACGATCACCATGAAACATGAATCTAATACCACTGAACTGTCCTTGCAAAACTACAATTTTGTTATGTGTATTTTACCACAATTTAAAAAAGAGTGCTGTGGCCCAGACACTGAGTCTAGAGCTTTAAGGCAATTGGAGGAGTGTTCGTGGGCTACACAACCTAGTCTAGTTCCAAGCTAGTTACTTGACCACTGGGGATCCACCAGTTGCCTCCACTGCTGAACTTTGCTTTGCTCCTTGACTTCCTCCTGGTTCTGCCCTGGATGCTGCAGGGGGAACGGGCCAGAGTCGAAGGAGACTCCCGGCCTCCCCCTCTGCTGGGAATCTGCAGGCGTCTAAGCTCTGAGAGCTTGAGGAGGCCCAGCCCAGCGCTGCCCCCAGGCCCTCTCAGGCCCAGCCTGCTCCTTCTATAGATACAGCAGAGGAAGGCTTTGGAGGTCGGCTGAGGTGACCTCCTGCTCCTCATTAGGACCCAGTTCACCTCCCCCACATGGGCCCTGGGAGCCCTTGGATTTCGGGGCCCCTCTGGGTGTTGCTGTGATGGGCACACATGGTCCCCTCACCTCCTACCCTGCCCCCAGTGTGTGCTGCTTCTCCTGAGGCGGAGTGAGGTCAGGGGCTGCGCTGGTGCAACTGCGTGTCCCTGTCACCTGACACAGAAGAATGTCGTGAAATCCACGAGCGAGTGAGCAAATAGATGCACGAACAAACACGTAGTCATATTTTTCAATTGTAGGTTCCCCAGTGAGAAATTCATTCTGGTTCCTGATTCCCTG